TTAGATAAGTTCTTGCAAGCCTGGCCTCGGGTTGGGCTTGGGGAGTAAAACAACTCCCAGAGCCCTATCAAGCAGGTATAAGTGCCAGACCAACCAGGCTGTAGCGGATATGTGGGCGCGCGGGCCGCTCCAAGCAGCAGCCTGTTGGACCAAGTTATCACAAGTCGAGCCTGGCCTCGGGCCGGGCTCGGGGAGTAGAAGTACTCCCAGAACCCTCTCCAGGTATGGATGGGGCCTGTGATCCTGTCGAGTAGCATACCTCACACCTCTCCGGTTTAACTCCTGTCCGGGAGTTGGGGCGTGACGGTCAAGTTGATCTCTCAGATGGCACCAGTCAACCGGGCGGTCAACTCACCTGAGAGCACCGACCACCACCACCTTGGTCCATCACACCATCAATTCTACTACCATAGCTGCAGCTCTCACCAACCTCGGACTTGTACACACCGGGTCACATGTATGGTCAGGTATGTCATGTGTCACACCACCGGGTTCAGCCAACTGTGTTGTTCAACTGTGGTTCAGCCAACTGTGTCGTACAACTGTGGTTCAGCCAACTGTGTCGTACAACTGTGGTTCGGCCAACTGTGTCGTACAACTGTGGTTGAGTAACTGCCATACAAGACTGTGCCAAGTAACTGCCATACAAGACTGTGCCAAGTAACCGCCATACAAGACTGTGCCAAGTAACCGCCATACAAGACTGTGCCAAGTAACCGCCATACAAGACTGTGCCAAGTAACCGCCATACAAGAGTACCCCCACACAGACAAGCGTAGTGTTGGATGTACTTTGCGGTAATGTCTATTGAATTTTGTAACTAGCTCATCAAGACTGTAACTTGCTTAGCTGATTGAATTATGGGGTTGAGCCCCTGAGCCCATTATGTTCCTCTGTAACCCTCTCCACTACCGCCCACAGGATGGGTATGGGGTGCACAATAGATGAAGTGAAGTAACTTTGCGGCACTATAGAGGAGACAATACCGTTTAAGGCGGTGAGTGAGGCGGCGCCGGGAGGGAGTTTAGACACTGGCAGGGTGTCACAGGGGCCTCCACGGACGGTCTACCCACCTCCCCAAGTTTTTGGTTACACCTCGCGTATCTTTGTCGGCGGGTGACGGCCACTTGCCTCATGCAACACTTAGAGAAATGTGTGTGTCGGCATTACAAAGTAACGGGCTATCGTACAGTGCACAGGCGCCAATGTGCAACACTTGGCGCCAGTGAATACTTTCAATGATCGCCTTTTGTTCTTGCTGGAAATTGGAATGTGCTTCGCGTTATTACATTTGCTTAGCTAAAAGTGTGTGTACTCACCGAGTTATGCTTGCAGGGGTTGAGCTTCGGCTCGTTAGTCCCGAACCAAAGAACCATGTACCTAATTTTGTACTCACTTATTTGTACTCACCTATTTGTGCTTGCGGGGGTTGATCTTTGTCTCTTTGGTCCCGCCTCTCAACCATCAATCAACTGGTGTACAGATTCCTGAGCCTACTGGGCTCTATCATATCTACATTTGAAACTGTGTATGGAGTCAGCCTCCACCACATCACTGCCTAATGCATTCCACCTGTTAACTACTGTGTTTAATTAAGTTTGTTAGGTTAAGAGGCAGGTTAAGTAGATTGTTGAAGATTAAGTTATCACAAGCGGTGGCACGGGCATGAGTAGCCCCGTAGGTGGTAGATGTTTGGAGTGAATGTGGTGTTTGGTGGTGTAAGATGAAGTGTGTGTGGGGCCCTTAGAGACGTTAAGCAGTACCATCTCCCTGGTTATACGCAACCTGACGGCTGACAGTCCTGCTTTTGACGTCACTAGATATTGCTTTGGTAAGGTTAAGTTTGTAAACGTACTTAATTTTGTGTGTTTCTAGTGGTAGAGTACCTGGCGCTTAACAACGCTGCATTACTATAACATATTTACCAATGGTTTCCGTATCAGGCCAAATGAACAGCTTAGGGTTTACTTTTGTTATGAACATTCTATCGAAATAGTGCAATTTCATAGAAAACGGCGATTACCTCATCGAAATGTAACAGCATAGACTGATAGTTGACTTACTGAAATGTCTTTAAATTGTGTTGACATTACTCATGACCAGCAGGTGCAGGGTAAAGGGCATATCTTATGAACAAATCCACAAGGGCCGTGACGAGAGTATTGTGATTTCTGTGTGTACTGAATTATCTTGTTTTTTATACTCTGTATAAAACTAAAAGCATAATTGCTAAATGTAGAAAATGCAGGCAGTGTAGACAGCACATGACAGAACTTCGTTATTCATGTTTGGAGAGGGGGTGAGGTGGATGCTGGATGTTAGGGAAGAGTTGGAGAGGGGAGAGGTGGATGCTGGATGTTAGGGAAGGGTTGGAGAGGGGAGAGGTGGATGCTGGATGTTAGGGAAGGGTTGGAGAGGGGAGAGGTGGATGCTGGATGTTAGGGAAGGGTTGGAGAGGGGTGAGGTGGATGCTGGATGTTAGGGAAGGGTTGGAGAGGGGAGAGGTGGATGCTGGATGTTAGGGAAGGGTTGGAGAGGGGTGAGGTGGATGCTGGATGTTAGGGAAGGGTTGGAGAGGGGAGAGGTGGATGCTGGATGTTAGGGAAGGGTTGGAGAGGGGTGAGGTGGATGCTGGATGTTAGGGAAGAGTTGGAGAGGGGAGAGGTGGATGCTGGATGTTAGGGAAATGTTGGAGAGGGGAGAGGTGGATGCTGGATGTTAGGGAAGGCTTGGAGAGGGGAGAGGTGGATGCTGGATGTTAGGGAAGGGTTGGAGAGGGGAGAGGTGGATGCTGGATGTTAGGGAAGGGTTGGAGAGGGGAGAGGTGGATGCTGGATGTTAGGGAAGGGTTGGAGAGGGGAGAGGTGGATGCTGGATGTTAGGGAAGGGTTGGAGGGGGGAGAGGTGGATGCTGGATGTTAGGGAAGGGTTGGAGAGGGGAGAGGTGGATGCTGGATGTTAGGGAAGGGTTGGAGAGGGAAGAGGTGGATGCTGGATGTTAGGGAAGGGTTGGAGAGGGGAGAGGTGGATGCTGGATGTTAGGGAAGGGTTGAAGAGGGAAGAGGTGGATGCTGGATGTTAGGGAAGGGTTGGAGAGGGAAGAGGTGGATGCTGGATGTTAGGGAAGGGTTGGAGAGGGAAGAGGTGGATGCTGGATGTTAGGGAAGGGTTGGAGAGGGAAGAGGTGGATGCTGGATGTTAGGTAAGGGGTGGAGAGGTGGATGCTGGATGTTAGGTAAGTTTTTCTTTTTCCAGGGATATTCCTGCACGGGCCCTAAGCCTCTGGCTGGCCCACTAAGTGTTGCTTGTTTCTGTTTTACTTGGGCGGAGTATGAGTATTTATGACTCGTAAGGTCGCTTCAGTAAGATTTTGCCATATGTGTTAACAACTTCTGTTCTGTTGAATCTTAAGTTGAAATCTTAATGGGTTTGTAACTGTGCACTGTGTTAGATAATGTTCCAGTGGTCTGTCGGGCATTTCTCCACAGTGCTGACATTTCCTCTCATCTTCTGGAACCTGTAAGCCTATTAGGTAATTGTTGGAGAGGGGGAGAGGTGGATGCTGGATGTTAGGGAAGGGTTGGAAAAGTGGATGCTGAATGTTAGATAAGGGTTGGAGAGATGGATGCTGGATGTTAGGGAAGGGTTGGAGAGGTGGATGCTGGATGTAAGGGAAGGGTTGGAGAAGGGGAGAGGTGGATGCTGGATGTAAGGGAAGGGTTGGAGAAGGGGAGAGGTGGATGCTGGATGTAAGGGAAGGGTTGGAGAAGGGGAGAGGTGGATGCTAGATGTAAGGGAAGGGTTGGAGAAGGGGAGAGGTGGATTGCTGGATGTAAGGGAAGGGTTGGAGAAGGGACGAGTTGGGTGCTGCATGTGAGGGGGAAGGGTGGGAGAGAGGGCATTCCTCTGAGAGTTAGCACTAGTTAGGCTGGCTGATGTTCCTTGTGTAAGTAGTTGTGTGTGTGTTATTCACACTTGCTAGAGCTTGGAGTGTGATACCACCTTCATGGCCCTCCTCTAACCCAATTTTGTTACTAACATACATGGTATTTATGCACCAGACTCATTATTTGTAACTATGTACATAGGTGTTTACACAAACTCATTATTAGCTTTATATGTAACTAGGTACATTGGTATTTATGCACCAGTCAGACTGAAGCTTTATTTATAACAACATATACAAATCATTATGAAGGGTTACATAATCTCAGAGGATGGGTAGTCATGCCAAGGCATGCGATCATCAGCCTCCGCTGCCAATTTTTGGATGCATTGCATGGATATCCTCAAGAACAGAGGTATGTGTAAAGTAATTGCTAAGCTCATTCCGGTCGGAATGAGCCGGTCGGAGCCTGTCGACCGAGTGGACAGCACGCTGGACTTGTGATCCTGTGGTCCCGGGTTCGATCCCGGGCGCCGGCCAGAAACAATGGGCAGAGTTTCTTTCACCCTATGCCCCTGTTACCTAGCAGTAAAATAGGTACCTGGGTGTTAGTCAGCTGTCACGGGCTGCTTCCTGGGGGTGGAGGCCTGGTCGAGGACCGGGCCGCGGGGACAGTAAAGCCCCGAAATCATCTCAAGATAACCTCAAGATAGCCCCAGGTACCTCATACTAGCAGGTCTGAATTGTCTGTTGATAGGACATTCAATAGTGTTGTGTTGGAGACTATAATCCAGTTCCTGCTCAGAGTTTACAGCTGGGGTGCTTAGGATTGGATAATTTGTCACTCATAGCCACCTGCTACAGGTACCAGTTATTCAATATAAGCCTGGCACTTACTACGTTGCACTGTCTGGTAAACGTCTCGTGTTTTTGTACATTTATCTGCCCATATTTGTTTATTGTAGTCTCTCCAGCTTTTGGATGTCTGTGATTTTTTTCCTACATGCTTGGAGCAATATAGTTCAATTTCATCCCTGTTACTGTTTGACTTTACATGATGCCAAAGATATAATAGCAGAGTTACATTTGTGTGAGATGGTATTCATACAAGAGATAGTTTGAATCCTTTATTCCATTACCTCACTCCCCCTCCTGTTTATTTCCTGTCTGGAAGTCTGATCAATAGTCAAGTACAAGAATGTAACAACTCTTGTATATATCTCAAAAAAAAAAAAAGTTAATAACACACTCAAATGCACCAGTCAACTGGGAGGAGGTTCTTACATTTGACTGAGAGCTTGACCAACACCAGATTGGTCCATTACACCATAAATTCTTAATTCCATTAAGAATACACATTACCTAATTCCATTACACTACACAGCTCACCACTGCATATGCAAGGTTGAACAAGAAAGTAACTGAACAGTCATTTATTACCTTGTGTACCACATATTTCAGACCACTTCTGGAATATGTGGCACCAGTGTAGCATTCGTATCTCATTAAACACTAAACTAAGTTGGAGAAAGTTCAGAGGTTTGCCACTAGATTAGTTTCAGAGCCGAGAGATGTGAGTTACGAGGAACGGTTAAATGAATTAAGTCACGTCACTGGGAGAGAGAAAAAAAACAGCGGAGACATGATGAGCTTAAGTTCACAGGGAAATAGACCGGACAGATATTATAGACTACTAATCATTGGTAGTGCACAAAGAGACACATTGAAATTATTAAGAAGTTTTTTAGTGGAGGAAATTGTATACATGTATCAAAAGTATATATGAGAGTGCTGAGTAGGTCCAGGAACCTGTACATCACTTGCCTAGACAAGGACCACTCAAACCCCGCAAACAGTCTACCCACTTATTCTCTTTCTCAAAATCTATAGTATGTTTGATCATTTTGATTTATATAGAAAATGGGGGCTTATGGTTTTCTAATGTCATTAATATTATATACACTGTATTTGCATTGCAAAATACAGTATACAGAGCATTGGGAACTGGAGTTACATCCTTGAGCTGTTGCAGTACAGTTATTTTTATTACAGTATTTTGTTTAGTGTTACTGTATTTATATAATGACATTATCACTATTAATTGGTGTTTTAATTTGAAGTTTTTAATTTGGTATTTTTTATTGTTTAGATATAGTGCAATGCAGTGTTATAAAAGTACAGTTTAGGATTATCTAATGCCTTTTAAGATACTTTATTTGTAAATACAATACAGTGTTGTACTGTACAATACATTTTTACAGCTGAAATATTGAACTGTAATTGGTTTTTAGTAATGATCTTAATAAACATTATAAAACTTCTTCTTTTCAGTCTGCGAATGAACACGGAGAAACAGTGAAAGGTTCTACGACATCCTTGGGGTCAGCCATCAACAGCCGGCCATCTTCTCGGTCATCATCAGTTGGACCTGAAAATGGTGACATTGATTACAAAAAAGTAAGAATTCAAGCATGTGCAGTACTGTTCAGCAGCCACATACTATAATGTGACATTTGTTATTTTTCAGTCAGTACACCTCTTTGTTATTGGTCTGGGATGCCATTACAGCTCCTGGTTTGTTTTTCCTCCCTTCCTTCCATGTCCCAGAGTATGATGAAAATAGATTTCCTATTCTATAGCCGATTCCCAAAATGTGTGTGATTTACAGTTCCTGATCTGTGCATCCTGAAATGTAGATGCATTCTTTAATCCCAATTTTCTAGCAGAATTTTTTTTTAAATGTTACATATATCACAGTGTAAACATTTTTTGTTCCTGGATTGTGTTACTTTCTGATTGCTTATGCATTCAAAGTATACAAAAGTGGCTATTATTTCCCTTCAAAGTTTGCTTTGACCTTTGCCTAAGACAGCTAAGGAAAAACATTTTGAAGGCACCTAAAGGCTGCTAACTCCTTATCTAGAGCTGTGACACGTTTCATAAGTCAATGGCCTTCTGGTTTTCAGCCTATGACCAAAGAGCCAAAGTTCAAACCTCACAAGTACTTTCAAATCCAGGGATCCCATCACAATGGTTGTACTCTTCAAGTCACTAGTGTTGTCCCGTCTTGAGTACTGCTCAGTACTCACTTCCCCTTTCAGAGCAGGAGAGATTGCTGAAATAGAGGGAATACAGAGAACATATACGGCACGCATAGACGCAATAAAGCACCTAAATTATTGGGATCGTCTCAAAGCCCTCCAAATGTACTCACTAGAAAGAAGACGACAGAGATATCAAATAATATACACCTGGAAGATACTGGAGGGCCAAGTACCAAATCTACACAGTAAAATAACAACGTACTGGAGTGAACGATATGGAAGAAAATGTAGAATAGAACCAGTGAAGAGCAGAGGTGCCATAGGCACAATCAGAGAACACTGTATAAACATCAGAGGTCCGCGGTTGTTCAACGTCCTCCCAGCAAGCATAAGAAATATTGCCGGAACAACCATGGACATTTTCAAGAGGAAACTAGATTTATTCCTCCAAGGAGTGCCGGACCAACAGGGCTGTGGTGGGTATGTGGGCCTGCGGGCCGCTCCAAGCAACAGCCTGGTGGACCAAACTCTCACAAGTCAAGCCTGGCCTCGGGCCGGGCTTGGGGAGTAGAAGAACTCCCAGAACCCCATCAACCAGGTATCAACCAGTACAACTAGGTGAGTAGGTACCCATAAGATATCTTCCCTGAGCTGTCATAGGCAAAGGTTGGAGCATTGTTTGATGGGAAATAATAGCCATTTTCTATGCTTTGGAGACATAAGCAATAAAAAAAAATACTACCCAGGAACAAAACACAATTATTTTTTTTTACTCATTGGTAATATCCACACAGATGTAATATTTGATATTGGAACATGACGTAAAGTGCAAGATATATCTGATGAAAAGTACATTCTCCATAAAGAGCCGTCTGAGAATTTTGGACGCTCTTTTTAGCTTTTGTGACCAAAAAGAAGGGAGGTTAGGAGGGAGTGGGGGATTAGAAATACAGGAAGTAAAGAATGAAGATGGAGATTTAGATGTAAAATTGTGTCCACTTTGGAATTGTAGTACTGTAGTAGTGTTGCTGTTACACAATTGATGTGTGGGGTTAACGTGTTAGTACATGAGGTAGGCTGACTAGTGAAGGATGGCAGTGTTGGTGCCATTGTTCTGGTGTCTGGGGGAACCTCTTTGTGGCTTCTTCCACAGCTCCTTAAGCTATCATCTTCAGCAAGAGATGCTAGCTGCAGGAAATCAAGGCAGGACAGCATTTCTGTCCTGCCTTGATTTCATTAACATTTCTTTATAAATATTGAGTTCAAGGAATCTGGACCCAGGGCTGAGTGGATGTGCAAGCTGTCATTTGTATTGCCCCAGTTCCTCTCCTACTGTCTGAGGAAGTAATATTTTTATTTAATTTATTTTAAAATTCATGTATTCAGTTATAGTATTCAGAAAGCTGAAATTTGATAGCTTGTAAAATATTGCAATACTTTTGTACTGCATTCATTGACTTATTCTAATAACAAGTTACAGCACTAAATTCTTGCAATTACAGCTGTACGAAGAACAGTTGGAAGAAAACTTCAGAGTTCACGAGCGTCTTCGAGGTACAGAAAATGAGCTTCGGCAAACCAGAGAAGCCATCGATATCAACACCAAAAAGGTATGTTATATTTACACAAAATGCATATTTTTCACAAACGAATTCTTGTTAGTATAAAAATAGAGAGAGGCATTAGTTATAAAATAGTGTAAACCCATCCACTCTTTCTACAGTGGCCCCTCCATTTACGAATTTAATCCGTTCCCAGAGACAGTTCTTAACCTGAAAATTTGCAACTGGAAACAAATTTTCCCACGAGAAATAATGTAAATTGAATTAATCCATTCCACACACTCAAAAATATTAACTTCAAAATACTTTTCATACCTAATTCACATAATTATTTAGTACTATAGTATGTGCAAGTTATAGCTTACCTTTATTGATGTCTCTTGTTGGCATATGCAAGACAGTAAGGAGAAGGGGAGGAGAGGTGTTACTGTTTGGAAGGGGCGTCTCCTTCCATTATAACATTAGGCACTGATGACTTCTTTGGGGGTACTCTCTCTCTCTCTCTCCTACATTTTGTAGGCATACCAATAGGAACTGGTTGAGGCTCACTGCTTGTTTGTCTTACTAAAAATATGTCTAAAGACATTTGTTTTTCCCTACGTTTTAACACTTGTCTGTAGTGAGACATCACATTGTCATTAATGAGGTCAGTGCAATGGCTTGCTAAAGCTTTATCTGGGCGAGTCTTTTCAGCAAAACTTTGCCATTTTTCCCATACTGCACACATTTTCTTAATGAGACAGGGACATCCTCTACTGCCTCCTCCTCCTCCCCTGAAGATTTGTTGTGTACTGCCTAGCTAGTTCAACAACCTATGTACCATTTTCATGTTTACAAATGATCTCTTTTTTTTTCCTCTATGGCCATCCTCACGTGTTTTCTTAGGTTAAGCCTTACCACTGACTTTCTTGGGACCCATGGCATGACATATAATAATTACTTTTATGTTTAAAGCCCCAAAAAGTAAAAAAAAAAATTAAATTCTTTACAAAGAATTTATGTGCAATCATCACTAAGTGGAAGACACTGGTAAACTATAGAACAGGCGACCGTGCCACCAGGAACCACGCGCTAGGTCGCCCATATGCATATCAACAAACTATGTTACCCGAGGCAAAGCTCATAAGCTGGTTCACATTTTACGAAGAAATTGGGCTCGTAACCTGAAAAGTTTGTAAATAGGCGCATTCATAAGCTGAGGTGTCACCATTTTTTTTAATAGCATTGAAAAGTTACTTAATTTAAAAACTTAAAAATACTGTATATGTACATAGTCACACCTCAATAAATCAGAAATATATACCTTGTATATAATACAGTATTGTACATGTGTTAGACATAATAGCAGATTACATTACTTTACAGTAGTGTTCCAGGGACTATATAAATACAGTATAACCACCTATACAGTATAGTGCATGGTAAACAAGAAATTCACTAAATCAAATTTAAACATTCCTATTTTTTGTAACCAAATAAGAAATTTTAGTGACTGCCCATAAAAGTTGTAATGCTTACATTAGCATTCTGGCAATTTACAGACAAATGATAATCAGTGTGTGTGTCAGCACCTTATACCCAGCAAAATGATACCCTACTGATGCAACCATATTGCAACCAATTCTGACCCTAAACACTCCAATTTGTTTATGCTAGGCAAACATACAAAGTACAGTGGTACCTCGCATAACGATCGCCCCAAAAGACGAACATTTTGGGTAACGAACGGCCCGATCGGCGTCAAATCATCCCGTATGACGAACGCTGGTTTGAGTAACGTCAACACCACATGGTGGGGTCGCGCTGCTTCTTGCACATTCTTATAGACGCCTCCGAGATGCACATAAATTATGTTGTTCTTGTTTAAAGATGCTAATGATGCTGGGATATAAAGGGGTGACTGCTGAGATGTTGCAAAGCATTGACGTTTTTGTAGGAAAAAAGAAATGAAATGTCTGATATACAACAAATGTCAAAAAGGTTCGTTCGGTGTTCGGCAGGTAGGCTGCTCCATTATAACAATCTTTCTTTGTTTCAAATGTGTTCCATTTGTTTTGTATTTGTCATTTACGTCTCAATAATGGAGAAGCCTACCTTACATACACTGAATAAACCATTATGACATTTTCCTTTCTTCAAATGTGTTCAATATTTATTTTTCATTTGCCTTATAGCAAAAGGTTCGTTCGGTGGTCGGCAGGTAGGCTGCTCCATGTTTCGTACATACAAAAAACGTAAATAATAAAAAAATGAAGAATTTTGAAAACCAGTACAAATGTCCAAAAGGTTCGTTCGGTGGTCTACAGGTCGGCTGCTCCATGTTTCTTAAATAAAAAAATAAAAAACGAAAAATAAAAGAACATTTTAAACAATTTGAAAAATGGACAAATGCCATAAAGGTTCGTTCAATGTTTGTCGGGTAGGCTGCTCCATTATTGAGACGTAAGTGACAAATACAAAACAAATGGAACACATTTGAAACAAAGAAAGATTGTCATAATGGAGCAGCCTACCCAACAAACACTGAATGAACCTTTTGCTATAATGAATATGAAAGACAAGGGCTGCTGGCTGGGTTAGTACTGCGTGAGCAACCATTTGTAGCACACGTGGCTCTGGCTCTCTAACACCTGTCCCACACAGTGTTGAAAGACTGCGCTCAGTCGGTGCAATTCAGAACCTATTGTTTGAAGAACATAAGGGTCATAACATTGGTGAAGCTAGGCGCAATAAGGGCTTAACACAACGGTCAGATGCCAGTGATACAGCGAGCGTATCCAGTTGTAGCTCTGAGCCTCACCCTTGCCATCTCGAATTTATATAGATGATACATAGATTAATCGTTTTCTGCGTTCAGTGATGATGCATCTGATACAAGTAGCATAGATGAACAGTGTTAGTGGCTTCCATGGTGGTGTTGTTCATTGATATTTTCAAGAATACCTGAATCTCTTCCTGACTGATGGACACTCTTTGAGGCTAGCTGAATCTCTTCCTGTGTGGGACCTTACAAAGCGATCTTTTCAAGACAACCTTACAAATTGAGCTTTTCCTATAATCGTTTCAATACTACCTTATGCTTTACAAGCTTGGCTACATACCACCTACAAGTACTAAAGCCAAGGGTGCACGCGAGTGCGTTATTTGCAAGCACACAGAACGATGAAACAGGAAACGAAAATCTATCTGTAGCTGGTGCAAGGAGAGCAAAGTCCCGCTGTGTACCATGGACTACTTTGTTGACTATTACGCACCTCCAAAGTACTGAGTGTGTAATACAGTGTGTTACTGTGTAAATAGTATGTGAAACTGTACATATTGTAATTTTAGTGAATTTTTACCACGTAATATTGTGACTAAACATTTATTGTGGACACATTACTGACACATGTATCACAGTTCCATGGAAAATTATGAACATTCTACTGTATACATATTGTAAAGGTCACAAATATGCATCATTTACGATAAAAGAAACAAATAAAACCGCATTGGAAATGCATAGAAAAAATATTTGAAAATATATTTGTGGCAACACGCGGTGCTTGAATGGCCTGCGCGACCGTGTCTGGGAGCTTCACACACGGGCGACCAGGCCCTGATGACATCACAGCGCACCTTGTCCACGCCCTCACAGCCAAAGTAAGTGGAATTTGGTAATTATTTTTACATAGACACGTTCAGGGACGGTAATTTATCATTTTGCAAAGAAAAATGATATTTTGGGGAACATTTGATGTCATGCACACTGGGGGAATTTCACAATAAACACAATGCATCACACTGGTTACATGGGGGACACTCGTTTTGTATGACGTCCGTTTCACATGACGAACATGGAACGGATTAAATTCGTTATGTGAGGTACCACTGTATATACTTAAGAATAAATTGACATTGATCTCAATAAGTTAGGCGAGATGATGTAGATTCATGGTTGCTCATACAAGGTAATACTGAACATGAAGTTTGGACACTTGACAAGTGAGAATGGGCTGCATATGGCTAATTGCAGGTGTTTATGACAATTTTTTTTTATTCCAAAAATAAAATGCTAATTTTATGCTGTTTTATGTTATGTTAATAGAACTTTACAATTACTGTAGTAAGACTGTATCAGCATGAAATACAATTATAAGGAAGCATTATACAGTATTATGATGGAGTTATTCAGAAAAAAATACTGTATGCTATTCTGTTATAGGGAAGTCTTTAAGTTATATAAAAGTTGGAAAATGTGCGGGCACACAATCAGGAATATATGATCATATATTCTACTACTGTATACAGTATACTGTATCTACATCTCATTTCTTTCCCTCTACCCCTGACAATTTACCTCAAGAATGGTAGTTACAACAGAAGGCATCCATACTCTTAAATACCTCGTATATTAAAACACAATTTTATCATTGGTTACCTTTTACTTCACAATCCAATGACATGAATTCAGGTCACCTAATCAAAAATAACCTTAAATCACACTAATCATTATTTGTCAAAATTACATAATGATTCTAGTACTGTATAACATCCCATGAGTGGGCAGTGCCTACAAGGCCTGTGCTGCTTTACCAGACTGCATTGTCACATACAAACAGGCTGTGATTCTGTGCACAAATGATGCTTTACTTTTAACATTTGTTGAATTAACACCGACATTAGGTATTCATTTTAATTTAAACAGTACTAAAGACCATTTATTTATACAAAGTCTATAAATAGTGTTATAACCTGAAAATGAGTACTGTATTGTACTACACACTACACACAGAAATCACAATAGCGTGATGCATCAAATTAACAAATCCTCGCCACAGCCCTTGTGGATTTGTTCTGTACTGTACTGTATAGACTTCATTCATGTTGTATTCACCGGCAGGTGATTGTTCTGCACTCAAATTTCGTGTATCTGCAAACCTGGAATGTACTGTATATTACATTTTTTTTTATATAATCTTTCTACTGTACACTACTACAGTCCATTTATTTGCAAACATTTACACATATACAAAAAACACTGGATTTACAGTTTACTTTTGGTTCAGTTTAGTAGGCTACTAATTAAATACAGTAGTTTATTACAGTACTTGTTTTATAAATGGCATCATTTGGGTACAATTTCTTCAACGTTGATTACCTCCTGCATCCTTTTCACCCTCTTTATATACAGTACCTTAAGTATTTCTTGAAATTAATATTTTAGCTGAAATTTTGTTTTAACATATTGCACTAAAATCTTCATTTACCAAGCCCCTCTTCTTCAGTGTAACACACGCCTTGCAATGGCTGAAGCAGATAAACGTGAAAAACGAGCCCTGGAGCGCAAACTCTCAGAAATGGAAGAGGAATTAAAGGTAGGAGAAATATTAACTACAAAAAAATTTTTTTTACTAAGCATTGTAAAATGTAAAATTAAGTACTCATTTTTTACTTTGTAAAAATGATTATATGGTACAGTATACTTTATGTTCTTGTAGTATAATTACCCTTACAGGTGACATATCCTTCACTGTTTTGTTCATGAATAATGTTATGAGCATATAATTTGTTCTAAAATTATTATTATTTTTTTTAATGCAATATTTTCAAATTATCTATGATCTTTTAAATGTGATACCTGTATATTTAAGTAATTCAAATTTGTATTAGTAATTTAATGACTACTTGCTCCTAGTCTAGAGTTTTTCAGAGATTTTATCCTGACAACTCTATTTAAGCCATTGGGTGTTGATGCTGAGAACTTCTGAAGATTCTCCATATAAAAAAATATTTTTCCAATTATTTTGTGGTAGAAAACATTGTAGGAATAGATGTAGCAAGAACACTGTAGGAGTGATAATTCCAAAGAACAGATTCATGACTGGGGAAAAAAGTGCAACCCTTCTCTCACCTCCCTTTGCTTCCTAACAATTGTTCTGCCACAAGCAATAGTTTCCACCTAGTTTGCTACTTGCATCTAAAATAATATTAAATTCAGCTGATTAAATTGATCTCCATCAATATAACACTGTGCATGGCACCTTAAAACGTCTTAAGTTGATGCCACCAATATGTAGAACCATTCTCAAACATCAAGCAATAACCATATTTGAAGTTGTTTAATGCTGCATTAAGATTTTGTGTATCAAGATTCAAAATTAAATAATGAGGGCATATTGCATCATTTTTAGAACACAATGTGGAGGGTACAAATGCAGAGCAAGCAAAAGATTAGATGGATATGGCATTCAAAGTTACTCAGATGGGCTGTTTGAAAGTGTTGCTAAGAAATTTTTGATAATATTAAATGGAGCATTTTTGGGACCGAACAAGAGGCTCAAGCATTGAGCTGATAATGCACAAAAATGTGTGTGGAGGTAATAGTGTTGAGTTATTGGAAAGCATCACTTTACTAGGCTTCAGTAGACACTGGTATGAGAAGCACAGAAACATTGATGCTGTTTAGCAAAGACAGCTTTTAAAAAACAAACATTAATGAAAACTTAAAAACTTTCTCTTAATTGTTCTTGTAATTTCAACTTTAATTAGATGCATTTCAGTTTTAAGCATTTGATATTATAACTAACTTGTCAGTACTGTATATTTACTAAGCCATATAGATATTAATATATTCAACATTTTTTTGCTACTAGTTTTGAATCTAGGAATATGCTTCATTATTATTTGACATTACCATAGGAACCATGAACTGTAATTGACAGTGATTAAGTTTAATTTGATTTTATTCATGCTAATTAGATAATGTAATATTGTGCAAAAGTAACAATTTGGATGATTTTTTTTATTTCTTTATGCAGTACTGTATATAATTGTAGTTTACATTTTTCTTTTTCAAAGCTTGAATTTTGGAGATGTAATAAAGCTGAAGCTTTAAGGATACATCCTTCTTGCCCCTTGCTAACATGCTAATTAGTGGTGCATAATATGAAGCATTGCTTTTGCATGTGGGATTTGGTATTCATCAGCATTAGTCTCATGTGGTGAAGCATCCCTAACTCTTGAGCTAAAATTATTTTTAACAAGGTAAAAAACTTCAGATTTTAGCATGATAATTTTCAATTAATGATAACCATCAGTTGGAACTTTGCTTCAACTTTCAGTCTGAACTTTTAACTCCCTTTCTTACAGCAATTGCAAAAACTTAAGGCTGAAAATGAAAAATTGAAGGCTGAAAACCGAGCCTTGACTCGGGTGGTGTCCAAATTGACCAATTCAGCCACAGCAGGCATGGGTAACTTGGCCAACTTGAGCAAATAGGTAAACTAAGGGTAGAGTGGGCAGTGTGCCGCTATGTGTGAATGACTGTGTGGCATCGGCCAGCATGATCACACTGCCTGCGCATGACACCTCTCGCAGTGTTTTGCAGTTTCCTTTGCTCGGGCCATGGGACCCTTATTATGTTTTTGAGTGACAGATACATAAAATTGGTGTGAAGTGTATTTTGTTGCTTAATATTAGCTGACTCACACTTCATAAAATGCCTTGAAGCCTGATGAATAATCATTTCCAAATTATAATAAATTATGTAAGTTGTTTGTCACAAAGGTTTTTATTAAGTGTTATTTGTATTACTTTACAATTATTATGCAATAATACTCATTATCTAAGCACATTATTATTTATTGTTGATATTAGGTATTAAATGTAAAGTATTAGCTAATTTTCAGCCATGACTTTACTGCTTAATTGTCCAAACATGGATAGTTTTTTTTGTTTTTGTTTTCAAGGACCTCATTGTAGTGCAGATTTTCTTAACATAGTTACAATTTTGTAAAAACTTATTTTATGTGTTGGTTTTTTCTTTTTCTTTGCATGCTATATGTTGTTACCTTATTAACTGGAAAAGTTTGATCCTTCGTTTGAATTGTGAATATGTTGCTATTTTAGATTGTCCTTATCTCTCATCTTAGGCATTTACTCATTATAGCTCTAGTACTTTTCCAGTTTTGGCCTATGTTTCAAATTATTGACTTGTATATATATTATATATATTCACCGGTGGTATACAGTATGTGTAAATCTGTATATTAGTATACATTGCTCATCTCCACTGCTGTAGGTTTTAATTGAACCTTTTTATTTCAGTTGTTGGAACAGTTGAAGCAGGAAAATCAACGGTTAAAAGATGAAAATGGGGCACTCATCCGTGTCATAAGCAAGCTCTCCAAATAATGAAATGCCTTCAGCTCCCGAGGCTGCTGCTGCTGCTGTTACCACAGTTGTTGTGGATACCAATTTATGCCACAAATGTTACCCAGTCATTATATGCTCCATGGGAATCCTGTGAGTGGTTCTGGGAGATCTGCAAGTTTTAAAGGAGTCTCAATAAACTCTCTTTTTTTGGAATTTTTATTAGTTATTAAAGCTGGCTCACTGCCCTTGGCATATTCTAGGTGGTGTTTTGGTGACCATGCTTTACCTTTCTATCTTGAGTATATTGCCCAAATAACTTTTGTCTATGTAGGCCCAGTATTTGTGGTGTAGGTGTTTATACTGGGTCTCATAAATTGGTTGATTTTAGTGTTGAAGCATGGTGAAACAACATTAATCTGGCAGTCATTTTCCTTCAAAATGGTATTGCATGCCAAGTACTTAAACAGTATTTTAAAGCACTACAAATGTTGCTTAATATCCAGTACTCCAATAAGAATATTTGAGCCCTATGGAAGAATGAGGTACAGATTAAATCAGTTTCACTAGGTCATAGTTGCTCCTGAAATAGTGATAGCAAGAGAGATTTTTAGAGTGTATTCATTAGTTTATGCCTTGTGGATGTTGGCTCTGACAAACTGCATGCCTGAATTATCTCACTTGAAGGCTCAGGCATGAGGGAATTCAAGAAACAAGTTCAGCTTTTGAGCCAATAAGAGTGTTTCATCAAAGCATATTTCCTATTAATTATTCCTAGTGAAATAAAATTAAAGGCTCATTCTCACTGATTGTCAAAAGCAATCTCTATGTCCTTTTATACTCAAGGCGCAGTATTCCAGCATACTAAAACTAGTTTCAAGTCTGACTTGTGGGGAAAGAATCCCAATGACACTCACACTCGGCCAGTGGTTCCGTCTGTCCCTAAAGCCAAGTAAAACAAAAGTTCACGTATATTTGTGTGTTTTGCTCCTCTTGTCTAAGCTTTGCATTTTCCACAAAGTTCTCATGTTCTCTTTTTGTAATTACAAATATAGTATTGGTGGAAAATATTACTAGCCATTGATTGGCTTAAAGGATGAACCTCTACTGTCTGAGACCCAACTCATCAATGGCCCTGGCCAGTTCTGCTTTTCTTTTGTCGTTCATTCAGTATTGCTTGTACAGTATCCACGCTGGATGTGTGGACAAGTCACTGTACATTAATATGTGGTGTAGAAGGAGAATTGTAATCATCTATACTTTGTTGAATTACAAGTGTATATAGAATTTGCACTTATTGCTGTCACTAGGTAATAAGTTTTAACTTTACATTGAGTTTATACAACTTAGACCTGTTGAATTAGTTATACGAGTATATGGTTATAATTTATGATTTCTTTAATTTGCTATAAAACAACCTTAAATGCACAGAACTTCACTCAAGAGTTGTAGGTGTTATTTTGAAATTTTAGTCTTATAACAAACATGATTGGCAAAAAACAATCTGATATAATTAAAATATAAACACCTTGAATTACCCTCATAATACCAAGTGGCCTTCTCAAGCATTAACCCTGAAATTTTGACTTGTCTAGACTTATTCACATTTGTTTTTGTGCACAGCTATACTAAAAAAGTATTATCCTGAATAAATAAAATCCATTATAATACAACAGATGAAAGTTGCTTACCATTATAAAAGTATTTATAAAATTATAAAAATAAAACTTGTATTACAAAATATCCATGATCAAATTGATTCTCGGTCTACATAGTGAGGATGTACCGGTATATGCATAGCAGCCTGGTAAAACCAGTCGAGCCTGGCTTCAACTATAACAAGGTTCATATGAAAGTATTTAGTTCTAGGAATTCTAAATGTAGTAGGTGTTTTTCTCTCTTTTTAAAATGGTGTTAAGTATTATGATTTTTCTTAATGTTTTGTCTGACAGATCATAGAGATTTGGGTCAATTTGAAATCTGTATAGGAAACAATTTTAAGATTTATTCTTATATGATTTGAAACTACTGTATACTAAGAAATTGTTAAATATACATAAAATAATAGTGATACATGTTGCAATAGTGATGGAGTGCAAATATGTGTAATCACCATAAGGTGAATGTTCCTCAAAGGTTATTTAAAAATGTGCAGAAATTAAGTGAAGAGTAAATTTGAAATACAGTATATTGACTTACTTGGCCATTCAAAGTGAACAAATTAACCTAAATAGAATGTAACCTAAGCATCAGCTCTCATAGATTTAAATCTAACATATAGAATGAATTACATTTTATTCCATAGAGGAATAAAAAGAGGGTTTCATGGTGCTTCATTATTTTGGTTGAATTATAGTTAGAGTCCACTCATTAATGAATGGGTCTTACCCCTGGTACTATCTAAGATGCATCACTTGGTATACCGGAGCTCTGCATCGTGCCTTAACCACCTGCTGATGCATTTTATACCATTTATATTATGGGTGAAATTGTGTTCATTGTAAAACTTTGATTGTACTAAGGTCATGCATAGTGATCTCTTGTCATTCAGGAGAAAATGAGCCAAATAGTTTGGGTAAGATTGTAAATGCTGATCATCACATGTGTCTGCGCAATGAGATTCTGTGCCTTTGTTGATACATAGAATATGAGCTCATTTGACTCTGAAGACTTGCCTTTGTATGTGCTGTTGTAATCTAAAATGTGTAAAATAGCTTGCTGTAAACTACCTATTTTGTAAAGCAAAAACATAAACCTGCATAAAGGTTGGTTTATTTAAAAAAAAAAATCAAATTTCATATATGTTCATGTGTCACCTTATAATTATGCTACAGTTTGTGCAACACTTGTCAAGGATCAGTAACCACACAGCTGCTGCAACATTGTGGGTTCAATACGATTACTGTGTGGCAGGAAGTCTTGTGGTATAATTATGAAGTGAGAATTTGTAGAAGAGCCTAGTCAAAGACAGATTACCTTTGTAGGCTTAATGTTTATCAGACATAAGTTGCTTCAGTTCCATAAAATGTACTGAATTTCTTATATATATATATATATATATATATATATATATATATATATATATATATATATATATATATATATATAATATATATATATAATACACACACACATACATACTTTACTAGGTGAGTACACACACACAGTACAGATTATTGAAGTTATTTACTAGAATGTCTTTGTCATGACAGTGCATAAATTATGTCAAGTGCCTTTCTCTTGTAATTATTATCTGTGAATGAACAGTGATTTAACTGTTAAGTTATTGTTCTTCAGGTCATTATGAACCATTTGTAAGATTATCATTCATTGGTCTTGCCACATTGTCTGTAATTATCTGCAATAGATGGTAGTCATTTTTTCTGAAATCTTACATAATTATAGCAAATATTTAAAAATAAAGATATTTTATAGTTAAGGTGGGCTTTCATTAGCCTTCATATTTAGAAAGTTTAGGTATTAGAAATAAAAGTAATTCTCAATGGATTTACTTCCAGGAAAATGGCTACATTTTATCTCTAACATATCTGAAGCATTTTTGCCTGGAAAACTTGTGCAAGATTGGTGGATATGATTAAAGTCTTCAAGTAGCTGTATCTAAAGATTCAGCCTGCTCTTTATTTTCTTGATTGTCATGAGATGTTGATTATTCTCTCTCTCCACACACACACAAAGTAGAAGTCTGCAGCCAGGCCATATTTCAGTCCCAGTCAACTGCCCACCATGCCTGGTGCAACTGCTGGATGCCAGAAAGCTGCTCTTACAGTCAGACAAATGGTATGTGCACTCATTGGAACATTTGTTCTGCAAATGAATATTTCTTTTTATTCCATTTGTTCTGCAATTGTGTTGATTCACATATTGTCCCTCTGGCTTTGTGCCAGTGTTCTCTCTTCTTATAGCTGGCCTGCATATTCCCTGCTCTAACAGACATACTTCTTCTGAATTTGAGTTTCTTCCCTGCAAACTAACTCTTGGATTGGGTTGGTTTTCCCAGTTGACTCTGGGCCGCACTATGATGCTTGCAACTTCCGAAGTTTTGATATGGCATTTTTATATGCCATTGGTTCTTCTTTTAGCAACCATCCTTCAGAAAAGTGAAAGGCAAGGAGCCCAGAGAAGCAAGATAAAAATACTCTCAAACTCGCATTGCAGGGCAAGACACACGAAGCCCATAAACCCCAAGCCCCAGGGTCGACACACACACACACACACACACACACACACACACACACACACACACACACACACACACACACACACACACACACACACACACACACACACACACACACACACACACACACACACACACACACACACACACACACACACACACACACACACACACACACACACACACACACACACACACACACACACACACACACACACACACACACACACACACACACACACACACACACACACACACACACACACACACACACACACACACACACACACACACACACACACACACACACACACACACACACACACACACACACACACACACACACACACACACACACACACACACACACACACACACACACACACACACACACACACACACACACACACACACACACACACACACACACACACACACACACACACACACACACACACACACACACACACACACACACACACACACACACACACACACACACACACACACACACACACACACACACACACACACACACACACACACACACACACACACACACACACACACACACACACACACACACACACACACACACACACACACACACACACACACACACACACACACACACACACACACACACACACACACACACACACACACACACACACACACACACACACACACACACACACACACACACACACACACACACACACACACACACACACACACACACACACACACACACACACACACACACACACACACACACACACACACACACACACACACACACACACACACACACACACACACACACACTGCTGCCATAGTTAGACAAATGGAACTTATGAGGAGACCCATGGGCAGCCATTGGAGAACATTATACAATACTGTACGTATTCATGTATAGACACAACCAGGAAAGAAACTGGCAATTCATGAAGCAGTAAAGTTTATTTGCTTGGAAACTTGGAGTTGAACATAACTCCAAGTTTAGTGTTCAGAAGGCCACTGCAAACAATCTAACCCCAAGCCCAGAACTGCCAAGGTATGGGTCAATGGAAATCACAGTAGAGCAAAAACTCTGTGCCAAGGCACACAGCCTGGTAACAGCAAGCACATGCCAGTCCAGAAACCATCTGATGACTCTCAAAGGAATCTCCGAGCCCACAGCCCATGAACCAGCATGCACACAGTCTGGACACCAGTAAACAGCGGGTTTAAGAAGTGCCAGCCCAAGGCCTAGGACAGGAATACGACATAAGGATAAAATTCAGTGCCATAGTGCTCTGTCAGAGTACTTTATGATATGTTTATGCCAAAAACAGGTTTTATACACAAAATCAGCCAAACATAGTGCCAAGAAAAACACACTGAGTGGGTGACTCCCTGATCTGGGTAAAAAGCAAACACTTATTGCCTTTCATGGTGAAATCCCAACAAGGTTATCTTGAGATGATTTTGGGGCTTAGTGTCCTCATGGCCCGGTCCTCGAGCAGGCCTCCACCCCCAGGAAGCAGCCCGTAGCAGCTGTCTAACTCTCAAGTACCTATTTACTGCTAGGTAATGGGGGCATCAGGGTGAAAGAAACATTTTCCCCATTTGTCTAGGGCACCTGCAGGCGGTTAGTGGAAGACAAAACTGAATGAACACTACAGACAACAAAACCTATAGAGGGTAAAAACCAGCCACCCAAAGCATGCACATCCCCCAATAGCCATGGAAAAAACATCTGTTCAGAAGGGAAAACAAAAAGAGAAGAGCTCTGAAAAAAAAAGAGATATGAGAAAGAAAGGAAAATCTGGAGAAGGGCTGAGGATAACTCCCTAAAGGCCAGAATTTGAACCTGCAACCATGACCATCAGCAAGTGCAAGCAGGCTGAAACCAGGAAAAACAACTGTTCATTCTCCCCACACCAGGGACCTGCAGAGTTGCTCCCAGCAGATCAGGAAGGCCAGACAACTCCAGGGAAATACCCTACTCCTCCTCAAGACAAACATATTTGAGACAAACCACCCACAAAGGAACTAACCCAGAACTGAATAGAAGAAAATTACTGAGATAGTTGGGAGCTATCTCAGTGAGATAGCTTCAGGAAGCCACATGGGGTTCCCTCCAGAAACAATCACATAACCCAAGTGCAAGGTCCCAACATGCACATAGAACAGAGCTAGATAGTAACAGAAGAACACAGCTTACTACTACTACTACTACTACTACCACCTATTGACTGGCCTTACAGTGGAGAACACTTCCTACATGCGACCTGGAAATGAGGTGACTGGAGAGGAGTCAACTCTTGGAAGTACCCAAACCTTCCAGAGCAGGTGCATCTGGTTAATACATGTAAGCTGACCACCCTGGAAGGTAACCCTCAATCACAGCCAGAGCAAGATACAATGCGAGGGCACATGGAATGTATGTGACATTAAACACAATCGTGAAGCATAAAGAAAAAAAAATGTCCTCCAGGGACGCTACTTTTCCAGGAATGACCAACACCACATAGTTGACCATGTTCCCCTGTTTTGCTGCACCTAATCATTCTGGTGAGTTTTTCTTAGTTTTTGGTAGATTTCTAATTCCCAGGCTCCCTTTACCTTGCCTCAAAGAGAGCCACATTCTGATCCTGGCTTCCAGTAGACCTGGGCAAGTCTCAGAGGCCTGATGTGATTTCCTAAGACTTGGCTATACCAATGTTTAAATTTGCAGGGCTACTGAGGAGACCCCTCACAGAAAAATGAGAAATAACAATGGCAAAATATTTCCAAATGCTTCAAAGCTGTTTTGACAAAAATACCTTAAATTATAATTTGAATATACAGTGGTAACTCCGTTTTTTAATTTAATCCATTCCCAGAGACGGTTCGTAAACCGAAAATTCGTAAACTGAAACAAATTTTCCCATAAGAAATATTGTAAATTGAATTAATATTTTTGGGCGTGTGGAACAGATTAACTTAAAAATACATTTTATACAGAATTTTTTTTTCTACTCATTTTACATACACAAAACAATTAGGTATAAATATAAACCATAAATAAAATAAGTGAACATTTAACTGCACTTTACCTTTACTGAGGACTCTTGTTGGTGTATGGGAGACGGTGAGGAGAGGGAAGGAAGAGCAGTGTTGGTGTATGGAGAGGGTGAGGAGGGAGGGAGGAGCAGTGTTGGTATATGGGGAGGGTGAGGAGGCGGCAAGGAGGGAGGAGCAGTGTTGGTGTATGGGGAGGGTGAGGAGGGAGGGAGATAGTGAGTGTTTAGAAGGACTGTCTCCTGCTCGCCTTAAACGCTATCATATCTGCATCACTGGTTCCAGATTTTCCTTTCACACATTTCACTGCCTCTTTTATGTGGCAGCCAGTCAGAACCAGTCAGTCACAACATGTCAGTCAAGCATTCACATTCAAGACCAGTCAAAGGCAGTCAAGCATTCACAGTTGTGGTAGCAACCGGTTAGGCATTTACGGTCAGTCACGCATTCACAGTCAATTATGCATTCATAGTCAATCAGGCATTTACAGTCAATTAGGTACTCACAGTCAATCAGGCTTTCACAGTCGCAACCAGTCACTCAGTAAACAATAAGAGTTTAATGTCAGGTGTTCAGGTAGTCTGCCTCTAGATCCATCAGCTGGTAGCATTTGGGGGGGGGGGGGCTCAATGTGGGGGAATGGAGGTAGTAGGGAGGGTGTAGAATTGGGGGGAGAAAGGGACCAGGAGTGACCAGCTCCTGTGGAGTCCTAGTCGGAAGCTCGCCCACTCCTGCCAAACTTCTGCCACCCGCTCTGTTACTCATCTGCCCACCCACTGTCTCCTGACTCAACCCGTCCTCTTAAAAATAATGTCACTTTTCACTCGTACGCACGCTATGACCAAATTTGGACGTAATTTGAAATGAAATCGACTCACAAAAGTGACGTACTGTTCCGTTTTCTGTTTGAGTCATCCGGCTTACTCGGCAAGCTTAGAAGAGGAAACTTTCCATTAACGTTTTTCATACCGTTTTAAAACTTATGAGAATTTCCTGCCCACCTAACATATCAGAGGACCCTTAACTTACTGTTGTTGAAAAAAAAATCCCAAATTTATTTTCATTTTTTTTTTCATTTTCAAATTACGTCCATATTCGGCCATACGGGCAAACGGCCAAAAGCGACATTCTTTTTAAGAGGACAGGTTGCCTGACTGCCCTGCTACCCCATCTCCTGTGCTACCCCTGCTCACTATCCATCCATCCAGTCCCCCTCAACCATCCAGTTCCCCTACTACCATTCATCCAGTTCCCTACCACCATCCATCCATCCAGTTCCCCCCACCATCCATCACTCGGTTCTCCCGCCCCCCCCCCCCTGTCCATCCATTCGTCCAGTTCCCCCCACTATCCTGTTTCTAGTATATGTAAACGACCTTCCAGATGGTATAGACTCACTCCTCTCAATGTTTGCTGATGATGCAAAAATTATGAGAAGAATCAAAACAGATGAAGATAGCCAGAGCTACAGGACGACCTGGACAAACTGGAGGAATGGTCTAGAAAATGGCTGCTAAAGTTCAACTCAGGAAAGTGTAAAGTAATGAAATTAGGCGAAGGGAGCAGAAGGCTGAACACAAGGTACCATCTGGGAGGTGAAATCCTGCAAGAGGCAAATAGAGAGAAAGATCTGGGGGTGGATCACACCGAACCTGTCCCCAGATTCCCACATCAAAAGGATATCATCAGCGGCATATGATAGACTGGCCAATATAAGAACTGCCTTTAGAAACTTGTGTAAGGAATTGTTCAGGACCCTGTATACCACTTATGTAAGATCAATCCTTGAGTATGCAGCTCCAGCCTGGAGTCCATACCTAGTTAAACACAAGATAAAGTTAGATAAGATTCAGAGGTATGCCACCAGACTGGTCCTGGAACTGAGAAGAATGAGTAACAAGGAAAGGCTAAGGGAGCTGAACCTCACAACCCTGGAAACAAGAGTAAGGGGAGACATGATAACCACCTACAAAATTCTCAGGAGAGAGTAAGGGGAGACATGATAACCACCTACAAAATTCTCAGGAGAATTGACAGGGTGGACAAAGACAAGCTCTTTAGCGTGGGTGGAACACGAACAAGGGGACACAAGTGGAAACTTAGTAGCCAGATGAGCCACAGGGACGTTAGAAAGAATTTTTTCAGTGTCAGGGTAGTTAACAAATGGAATGCTTTAGGCAGTGATGTGGTGGAGGCTGACTCCATACTCAATTTCAAATATAGATATGATAAGAGCCCAATAGGCTCAGGAATCTGTACACCAGTTGATTGACAGTTGAGAGGCGGGCCAAAAGAGCCAGAGCTAAACCCCCGCAAACACAACTAGGCGAGTACTATTCATTAATTTAATCCAGTCCCCCCCCACCATCCATCCATCCAGTTCCCCCTCCACCATCCATCCATCCAGTTCCCCACCATCCACCCATTCAGTTCCATCCCACCATAGATCTATCCATCCAGTTCCATCCCACCATAGATCTATCCATCCAGTTCCCCCCCCCCCTCCAGCATCCATCCTGTTCCCCCCACCATCCATCCATCCAGTTCCCCCCCACCATCCATCCAGTTCCCTCCCACCATCCATCCAGTTGTCCTCCCAAATACAATATTCAGGTGGGATAAACTGGTAAACTGAGTGTGCCTCGTCCCACGCCCACTAAAACAGAACCACCCGCTTGTCAACCATATGTATACAGTATCAACAAAGTCGCCAAGCGAGGTAAAGATCATCAACCGAGTAAAATTTCTTTAAAAGAAGAAATTTAGCTTGTAGCCCAAAAAATTCGTAAAGAGGGACATTCGTCAACCGAGGTTCCAGTGTATTTGGTCAATTCAGTAATAACTGAATAACTGCTACCTCTTCAATTTTACTGCATGTTTTATCCAAATTATTAAGACAGGATCAGAGGCCTGGTCAGAAACCACAGGAACACAGGAACATTCATTCTTGAAATCTCCAACAGGTAGAATTCACACACATTCAAAAAATAAAATAAAATAAAACAAGATTTTCCTTGGTTTTCATGAAGATTGGAAAATAACAAAGATGACACAAAACACTGATACTTAAGGTAAAATTACAGATTTTTCTAAATGTTTATTTTTTAAGGATTGATGTAAGGCAGTCTGATACATTGTTAATAAAAAAAAAAAACTAAAATATACATACAGAAACAAATTTCACTTGAGCTACAGTAAGTATGTCCATAATTTTGCACAACATCCTGGCCTAATTATTAGTTTCAAATACAGTATTAAAGAAACTCAAGTTAAAAAGGGGAAAATTTGTTTGATGTCCCATATAAATTTCAACCGACACAAACTCGAATTATCACCATGCATTAATTAAAATTTATTACCATTGCATTATCTGGTAATAATGCATTAATACATTGCAAATCTGAATAATTAAAAGTTTACTCAATTTGGTCTTACATAAAAAAAAAGGCTGCTCTCCAAAATTATGTGATAATCTGATATGTAATAAGTATTAGTACTAGTACATACACTTTAGTCAAACATGGTGTGGGCGCACTCTGATGCATGGTCTTCTAACTCAGCACTGTTGATGAAATCCCCACACACTGGACATTCCTCCACCTTGTCTGCATTTTTCTGAAGAAAACAAACAGAGAACAAGAATGTATATCCAGCTCTAAAAATGCATTAGGGTTTGAGTGTATAGTATACATAAAAATAATCCTTTCTGAGCATCTTACTTGGTTGCTTCCCAAGGAAATATTTTTTTGTGCCATGTGGATAATTTCATAAACAGCCTGGTGGGAAGATATTATGGCTCCAGCATAGTAAACTTATTAATAGTCCCTGTAGGGTCATAATGCTTGGCAGCACAGGAGAATTCTCAGTTTAGGTGGATGACTTCTAGGTCATTTCATATAAATGTGATGGCTAATGGAGTGCTCTTGCTGACTACTGGTTGGCATGCCTGGCAACCAGTCAAACCTGCACTAGTGTCCACCCATGCAAGAAAATCCTATGCACATGCATCCCCAAGCACAAAAGCCAAGCCCACACAAGCCAGAAAGAAAACAGGCATGTGAAGCTAATACTAAAATCAAAGAACACACAAGGAACTGGTCCCTGCTAGACGAATACAGCTCAAGGATGGCTGGCATTTAGCTTGAAGCAGAGGGGCTTGCCCATGACATTTGAAAGAAGCACTACAGGTACCTTCAATTACATAGTCATCCTGGATTGGTGCCTTCTTTTGAAAATTACTGTACTTACAGGTAGCTTCAAACACCACAACATTAATGACAGAACTAATTGGTAAGGGGAAGTCAGCTATAGGCTGGGGCAAAAAAACCAGCGTTGAATGTAATGAAACGCCATTTTCTGGGTGAGTCCCGGAGGCTCCCCGGAGCTATCCATGGCTGATATGGATACCCTAACTATTTTGCATCAGTCGATGTGGGTGGAGTTCTAGGCCTACCGGGGACCACGAGCCAGAACCTGGCCCCCTCAGAGAGGCACGGGGAGCAATGGCCCATAGAAATGCACATGTGATTTGGAGCATTCTATATCTGCCATCAACCGGGACAGGCACCCAGAAAGGTAAGCTCCACAAAACAAACCCCTATTCTGGTTAACAACAAAAATCGACAAACGACCGGACAGAACTCCCCCAGGAAAACGAACTAACAAGCATGAAGTCACACGAGCCGCGCCGCATGTCTGCGCAGCTCCCCCCTCCCCGGGGGAGGGGGAAGGGGGAGCCCCAGACCCCCGCGCCGGCGATCCCCGCCCCAGTTCTGAGGCTGGATATCAAAACTGCGAAAAAAAAAACCCGCCGAGCGGAGGGCGGGAGGGTGCCGGGGAGCCTCCGGGACTCACCCAGAAAATGGCGTTTCATTACATTCAACGCTGGTTTTTTGGGGGGAAGCCCCTACGGCTCCCCGGAGCTACTTCACCAAAGACTACCTAAGAAAACAAGGGGACATACCCGGGAGGCGGTCGGTGAACCACTCCTCAACACGAAGTCGAGACAACAACCCAAGGACCCCTCCGGAAAGCAGCAGGCACATCATTCGCCAGAAAAAAGGGAGAACGGCCGCAGACGAAGAAACCTATGACCACGACCATAGTAGCCAAAAACCACTGCGCCTGAGAAGAGCAAGAAGCTCTGCCACACGACCCCCAGAGGCGAATGCCAACACAAAAAGAAAGCCGAGGCAAAGCAAACCTGACCCCAAGGAGCCACAACCACCAAGGAGAAGAAAAACAGGAGAGCACCCTGTCTAAAGACCATGACGACACAGGCAGTGCATAAGCAGGCCGGAGGTGAAACAACGCACGATACAGCCTGCGAAACGGCGCAGAAGGAATATCGATACCGAAAGCTAGCAGCAGAAACCAAGGTGCCAGACCCAGGAACGGCCCCAAGCGCCTCTACATCCTCCGCAAGCCAATCCTATGACAGCCCCAGGAGGGAAAAGAAAACGCAGGACCAAAACGAAAATGCCACAAGCGTGCAAGTCCACTGCCACAAGTGCAGCTGACAGGGAAGGAACCCGCATAAGGAGCCGCCCCGCACCAACATCCCGCAGAAGGGCAGGAGCGAAAAGACTCATTAAGAGGAGCAAAATCGCCCCCAGGAAAACGAGTAGCGCCGAGACAGCGCGAAGAGAAGAGATATGCACAAAAGAACAAGAAGGCCAAACACCCAGAAGCTGCCGGGAAGAGGACCCACAAGCCCTAGAAAGGACCGGAGGGAAGCTCAACCGAATGACGACAGACGTACCAGAAAACGGGAAGGAGCAAAACCGTCCCGAACCTTCGAGAACAAAAAGAAGCAAACACAAAGGACGAAGGCACAAAAACCCCGTCGCACCCGAGACCAAAAGTCATGCAGAAACCCCAAGAAGAGGGGGACATGACGGAGAAGGCCCGTCCCGGAAAAAAGGGGCGAAGACCGTAGAAAAGCACCCACCGACAGGACGGAAACAACGGGCACAATGGACAAGGAAACCGAGCCCAGGGAGGGGCCGACGCCCACAAAGCACGTGCGGAGAGGGGGAACGGAAAACCTCACACCACAAAACTGCAAGCCCCGCCCAGAGGGGTAGAAACACCCCGGCGGGGACCAACGGGGCCTGAGGCCCCTCACGTTAGCCCCACCCCAGCCCCGGGAACCCACCCTGCAGGCCCCGGGGCCGAGCTGTCCCCTCAAAGCCCCAGCGTCAAGAAAAACCCCAGGGCAGCCGTGAAAAACACGAAGGAAGGGAGCCCACTAGGCTCTGGAACTTGAACCGAAACCGGAGGATAGGTGAGGGGCGAGACGAAGACCCCAAGCTCATCCCCAGCCAGCACAATGAGGCGAGGACAAGACAGAGAATCCAAGGAACATGGAAAAACCAGGCCCGGCACAGCAAGACCGGCAAGGAAGGAGAGCCCCAGAGGGAGCACGGAAGGGCCGAACATAATGCCACAACCAACCCCGACACGCAGCTGCAGTACCAAAACCGCAGCAAAACGTCACCACACTCCCCGAGGAAGCGACAGAGAAGATAGATAAATCGTACACGAGTGGCACACAAGGGGACACAGGCGGAAACCGAGCACCCAACTGAGCCACAGGGACGGTAGAAGAAACGTGTGCAGTGTAACAGGCAATCAAAGGAACACATTAGGCAGCCCAACATGGGCTGACCCCATACACAGCCCCAAGAGCAGAGATGAGAGTGCCCAAGAAGCACAGAATCCGCCCGACAGGCAAACGACAGGGAAGAGGCGGAACCAAAAAGCCAGAACCCAACCTGCAAGCACAAGGAGGCGAACACAAAACCTCCAACACAGGAAAACGTACCACCAAACAGGCACCCCCACTGTTGCACTGTGGAACAAGGTGGAGGCGGGGCCCCGAACTCAAGCAAGGTTAGACTAGCATAGGAGAGGGGCAGGAGGAGCACAGGCAGGAGCCGCCTCGGAAGGGCCAAGAGGCCACCCGCAGACACCTGTGAACTGAGGAAGGAATAAGTTGGAGAGAAAAGCTGCCCAGTATGGGCTAATAGCCCTGCAGTAGGCACCTCGTTCTCAAGTACGTATGTACACCCATTCCTACTCCCAAAAACAACAACAGCGTCAGGACGAAGGAGACACCAAACCGCACCAACTCACCTGCAGAACATAGGCGCTGAAGGGCCATGACGCAAGCTTTCGAGTCCGTATCCGCCGGAGGCGGCCAGGGCGCCCATGCTGGAGAGGAGGGGAGCAGCGAAGGAGGCTCCCCACCCTAGAACGCAGGGAAAAACCTCGTGACTTCCCCACAGCGGCACCCCAGAACACCCCCAAAGCAACGGGGCACGGATTGGATTAAGAAAAGAGCGAGAGGCGAAGCCCCCCCCCCCCCCCCCGGAGAGAAAATGGATGCAGAACACGTGTGCACACCGCCCGGAACCAAAACAAACTCCCACGGCGCATGCGCAGGACGCGAAAGAAAAGTAGCCCAACAAGGCGAGAAGTAGCCCAACCAGGCGAGAAGTAGCCCAACCAGGCGAGAAGTAGCCCAACCAGGCGAGAAGTAGCCCAACAAGGCGAGAAGTAGCCCAACCAGGCGAGAAGTAGCCCAACCAGGCGAGAAGTAGCCCAACCAGGCGAGAAGTAGCCCAACAAGGCGAGAAGTAGCCCAACAAGGCGAGAAGTAGCCCAACAAGGCGAGAAGTAGCCCAACAAGGCGAGAAGTAGCCCAACCCAAGGCAGCCCAGGCGAGAAGTAGCCCAACAAGGCGAGAAGGAGCCCAAAAGGCGAGAAGGAGCCCAAACGGCGACAAAGGAGCGCAAATGGCGACAAAGGAGCCCAACGGCGACAAAGGAGCCCAAACGGCGACAAAGGAGCCCAAACGGCGACAAAGGAGCCCAAACGGCGACAAAGGAGCCCAAACGGCTACAAAGGAGCCCAAACGGCTACAAAGGAGCCCAAACGGCTACAAACGGCTACAAGGAGCCCAAACGGCTACAAGGAGCCCAAACTGCTACAAGGAGCCCAAACGGCTACAAGGAACCCAACCTGTCCAGAACAGAAGGAAGCAGTATGGAGGCAAACTCCGGGACACGCAGGAAGTAAGCCACAAAGCCCAACCGCACCGCAGGCGAAGAGATGCGGTTAGCCGAAAACCTCCGGAAGACGGAACTGAAGAAACCACAGGGACACGGAACCGAACCCGGGGAGGAGCAGAACCCAAGCCCAAATCGTACGCAGAGGGGGGAAAGAAAACCCCACTCCTCGCAACAGTAAGCCCCGCTCAGAAGGACGGAAATCCAGGCGGGGCGCAATGGAGCCCAAGGCCCCCAAGGCCGCTCCTCCCCAACCCCAGGAGCCTCTACACCAGGCCCCGGGGCCGAGTCGACCTCCAAAGCCCCGGCCCCACAAGAAAAAGCCGGGGCAGCCGAGAGAGCTGAAAGAGAAGGGGCCCACTGGTCAGACCCCGGAGCATCGGCCGGAGGAACAGACTCGAATGCCTCCGCAGCTACCCCGGACGGGGCAACCCCCGAAACTGCCCAAGTCTCAGAACCTCTAACCCCGCCCCGACCCCGAAGCCTGCAGATGCGTAGGGGCCGGAAGCAGGAGGGGGAAAAACAAGGGGGGCGTGGAAGAAC